ACTTTTTTAAATTTATCATACTGTTGTCAATGTCAGCGATATTTGTTATACTGACACGACTTTCTGTTGTTTAAATAAGCACCATTCACATTTCTGTATATATATATATATATATATATATATACTCACAATGATATCTTTATAAATTATGCTGGTCACATGTCGTGTGTTAGCGTCATTTATATAAAAAGAATTTTATGCTGCACACAGCTCGCATTTGCTTTTGTCTGTTTTCTAAAACACTAATAATGGTTGCGATGATGATACTGATCGTGATGTTCATGACATTGTCAGTAATGTTCCCAGGAGATTGAAAACATTCATACTACACATATAGTTTAACAGAAAGGATATTGTGTCAGAAAAAGTTGAAATACCAACGCAACAACAAAAATGTAGATTTCAGTGAATCAGCAAGAAGGGTACTTTATCATTAAGAGGACCATTTTAAACCAATACTGGAGTACTGTATAGCTCCTCCGTCTTAGTTTACGGCCTACTCTTTAGCATTACTCACTCAAGGCCTTCATTTTACATGTCCGTTTAGTCACTGGGAGCAAAGAGTCCACTCACCAGCCTACCGAAGTCTAAGTTCTATCAATTCGTCATTTTCAGTGCCGTCATCGTCAATCAATATCATCGGCGACTGTATGTTCTCACAGCCGATATGGTGTGAGCGTAAGTGGTTTTGACTTCTCACTAGACCTCCGTGCAACTTCTTGCCTCGATCAGTCAGTAGTGAGCATCAGAACAATTTCCAAATGTGTTAGTTGTCAAGGTTTTGTCTGCAAATGAGTGGGGAAAAATACTCACCGATGACGTTGGTGGGTGGCGATGGTGCTAAAGTCTACAGAAGTAAGAATTCAACGAATTGGACATCCGATTGTGTGTTTCCAGTGGCTGAATAGTCAACAAGTTCGCCTCGTAACCAGGACGTCTTGAGTTCAATTATCAACAAGTGCATCATGCGTGTGTACTGTTGAAGAATTAGTCGCAAACTAGAACGAAACAGTTATCCAGTACTGGTTCTCAGTGGTTCTTCAACTCATAGATTTCCCTCCTTTTCGGTTTATTCGAATATACATTTTTTGCCATTATCTTTGGAACATCGCTTGTCATATTTCTTTATCACTATTTTCCTTGTTTAAATCTATGCATGTAGCCTCAATTATATGAAATAATACGTGGTGATTTACCAACAGGATGATTAGATTTTAGGAGAGAGAGAGAGAAAAAAAAAGTGATGGGAAAAATGCGGGAAACAAAATTCGTCTGACTCATGAATAACTCAACAGCCTTATTACATTTTGAACATACCAACACAGGTATCAGTTTAAATAAAACAACAAGACGAAGATGATATCAATTTGAGTCTCTTCAGCGGTACGCTCCAAGAGACCCTATCAGGTCGTCGAACCTTAAGGTGACAGGGCCAAGCCACTTGGCTCTTGATTTCTAACTTCTGTCGATATGCCATTTTTAGAGCTACCACCAGCAAATATCATCACTGATTATTTGCATTCATTTGAAACCGATGTAGTCCCACTGACCCCGTGGAATCCAACCCTTGAAAATTAATCCGATGCTGACTAGTGACTGACTGACTGACTCACTACAAGATAAAGTTGTCTGAGGTTCTTACGATAAGTGGTGACCAGTGTAAATTCACAGAAGTTAGAATTAACAGGCTCGGAACTGGATTCCGTCCTTCCGGGGGCTAAGTGATCAACAAATTCGACTTGCAACTTGAAGGTCATTGGTGGCGCAACCCCTATTGGTTGGTGAAGTTTTGAGTACCTAAAGCTGAAGAATCATTACCAAGCAAGCATAAATCAACTATCCAGTACTCCACTTCCCATTTCTGGTAGTCCTTTAACTGATATCAGTCGTTTCGCAATCAGTACTGAAACTGATCAAATCCCTATAAACTAACACCTTAAAAGGAGAGAACTGTCAACTTGTAGGATGACATGGAATTCATGTTATGCTGATGATATAATAAGATACTGCTGAACTGTGGATTCGATACTGGCATTTCCAATAGATAGGTACCTCTATCGTAAAGCAGATACCGATTACTAATCAATCCACCTCACCCCAACCCGCTGCCACTGTCCACGAAAATAAAGATTAAAGACAGACTCTCCCGTACATACATTATATAGAATTATGCCGCACCTCGGAAAGTTAAGCTACCAAATAACCAGTCACACTGAGTAAATAAGATCAAAAATCTCAAGCTTATCCAATCGCATTATAACCAATATTATATGTATTGTGCCCTAGCCTACTGATTAGTTGAATTTGTACAAATTTGATTAAACTGATCTAAGAATGTTTTTTTGGTCTCAGGGCCTGCTTGAGGTAATTTTAGCCACCTGTTATCAGTTAATTTGCTGTTTGCATATATCACGTACACAAGCACAACACAGTAAAACAGCACAATCATCTACGAGATGCCGACATTCCGAACACAACTGATTATTGATATGTTTTGCGTCAGTCGCAAAACAACCTGAGCAATAAAATACACAAGTAATCCCCATTTCGCACAGTTACGGCATAGTGAGTAACACAGTGAGAACACTGATGATCCTGAGGAAATATGCCTTAAACTAGGCTCTAATCAAAATTTCTCTACCTAAAATACCAAAACCTTAGGAACCCTAGTTTACTAGGGGTTCCCAATACTCGGCAAAACTAGAGGAAAGGTTAACTGAGTGATTACTGACTCTGCACTTAGGAAAAACAGTCCAGTCTCTGTGCAAAACTTCAAAGCATGAAGAAATATAAAAATTAACTTATTTTCTGTTTAAGTCTGGGTGGGGGGTTAAATGAAAGCCTTTGGGAAGGGTATTGGCCGAAGTGTCTTTTTCCGATGAAAGCAAAATTAAGCATAACCACATGGAATGTTCAAACGATGTTCGAGACTCACTACAAAGGCTGCTCACATTGCATACTGGTAACTGCTCCATTTACTGTCTTGACAGTAAAGATCAGGTCGTCGGTAATGAACCAAACAGTAGCCTGTAGCTCAACAGATATACAGAGGGAAATGGAGGTGATTGAACTGTATACAGGCGCTGAGGAGAATTTTGAAGAAATATCACACTCCACCCACATTCTCAAATGGAACCCAGGTGTGAAATGAGCAATAAGTTAGTCATGTGTCCGACGATGACGTGGGAGAGATTATATGCTGAAGGAGCAACAAACACTTGTGCGCAATCGTGCAGTTAGCTGAAATAGACGACAGAGAACAGCGTATAGTTGAGATGTGTCTCGGCTGAAGCCCTATGTTCCACTTGGAATCCAAAGGACAATTAATTAAGTATAAACTCTAGCCCTCATCCTATGTAAACCTGAATCTGAGCATAACCTGACACTAGTCTAATCCTACATTTATATAGATATAAGGTCAGAATCGCAACCCTCAAAAGACAAGCAGTTGCATGAATATCGACACACCTGTGAAAAACTGAGACTTATTCTTACAAAATTCTGTTTAAACCGAAATGCTGGGTCTCTGTTGACATGTCAGTGCTCTCCAATCACTGACACTTCAACGATGTCCTGGATTCTACTGCCAGTCATCATAAACCAAGATAATATCATGCTGATCCTCAGACATTGCTGAAGTGTCCATAATAGGAAACCACTGACATGTCAGCAGAGACCGAACATTTCGATCCGTCGAGCAAGAGGTGTCTCTTGTGCCCCAAATGGTCTAGTGAAACGATGAGTACTAGGTTCAAGCCTCAGCGGGAAGACCATCAGTCACTCATTCACTCAATCACTGATGATAAAGGTATGTATCCAACTAACTAAGGAGTCCCAAAATATAACGAAATGCGCACCCCAGATTTTACACTACTATTCGATATCAACCAAAGATTTCACACTTCTTCAAAACAAGTATTTTAACGGTATACTGTTTTCCACCAAAATGAAGCCTGGCTTACTGGGATTGGCTGACTCACAGTCAATGAGTCCATTGTTCTTATGCACTGCTATTGTTGAATTTCTCTATCACCATGACACTATTTTCTGTCGACATACTTTAAATATGGAAATCCAGTTCATTTTCGAAGAGTTATTATTATTATTCCCTTGGGAAAATAGGCTTTCAACAACACCTCTTCATTTCACTGTGTCAACTGGTGTCTTTGGGTAGATAGCTGGCGTGTGTTGCCAGTTAGTGGTCTTCTCAGACTACATCCAATCCATGTCCATCTTCCTATGCATATTTGTCGAGCAATAGGTTCTTGTTTGATTGTGTGCCAGAGTTCCGTGTTGCAAATGATATAAGAATAAAACCTGTTCACTGTGGTAGAGCACAATTCCATTATGGGTAAAATTTATTTTGATAAAGTCTCACAGTGCTATACAGTAATATTTACTGATAACGTTTCGAGTACAATTTATTACTGCTCATAATCACATCAAGGTACTCACACAATCTTCCAACTTCGTTTATATAATTCCATTACTTTTCATCGCTTGACTTGATTGGTAGTAGTATTTTCCACATTTCTGGTATGAATGATGAGTCATTGCATCCTATTGCACTTGTTGTGTTGGGTGTAGACTCGATGAACCAGGCATGATTCAGTAATCAACCACTCTCTCCACCTACCTATATTACTTCTTAGAATTGTAACCCCCTCTTACCTGGCTTCGTGAGTCTGAGGAGAGTGATTGGAGCATTGAAACTTCTTTCAAATGATCTAATCAACCCTGGACTCAGTATTTCACTGGATTTAATGTTATTTTTTCTGAATGACTCTAGGTATTTTTATATGCATTCAATTGATGATGTTCAGCTAACCGACTATTATTCCATCTTATATTTGACTATTTGTATTCAATAAGGAAATATCTAATCTCTAATCAAACTACCAGTAGATAGTAATCCCAAGAAAACCTGTATTCTATAAAAATATTCATTCAATTTTGTTTTCTCTTCTTCCACTTCACTTTTTTTGGTTGAAATAAAATAGTTATTTCTACGAGCTGTTGGTATCAGTCCATGGGAAGGTTGTCAAACTGCTCTATACTGTGCTCTAGTGAATGATCCGCTGCCTGGAGGATTCTACTCAAACTGTGCCCTGGAAGAGTTAACTGAAAAAGCTAAAAATGAACAGTTGGGCAAAAAATTATGGCTAGTAACACGTGAAATGGTTGGTTTACCACCAAATTTAACACTATTATATTGAACATCGAATCTTTCGCCTTCTTCATCTTGATTATTTTGTTTTAAACCAACTATCTAAACATTTCATTTCATTTGAACTGAAAAATGACCAAAGCTTCTCTTTGAATAATCTTGAGCTGAAGCAAGCATAAACATTTGTTGCAGCCAACGAACAAACATGTAAGGCGTATGAAGAGTGCATCACAGTCAATCAGACAAGTGCCAGAATGTCATCTAACCAGTTCAAAACAGTTTCCAACACACTTCCTAAACAAAAAATATATATTATGCAATTTTGTATACTAAAACATTACTTCCATTCAAACACATTTTTATAGGTGGAATTTGAACAATGCCACAGTCAGTTGACATCACAACAGGCCGTTTACAAGCAGTCTTCATTTTAATTTTTGGATTTTTTTTCACTCCAGGGGAACTTATGAATGTGAGCATGTTTGTCTGCATGTTTGTGTTTGCGCGTGTGCAAGCGCATGTATTATTGATTAGTATTGATTATGCTTATCAGTGTTTGACCTTGAGTCAATCGTATGTGTCATTAGAAGTGAAGCGTCAGTGATTATATAACTATATAAACTAAATTGTTAAATTTTCAACGCACAAATACATATTTGATATAATTTTTTAAAATTTCGAGATTTTATTCACCTTTGTGTATTTAAATATTCCCACCACGATAATTATAGAACCTGATTTAAGCAACAAATGCGTATTTTCGAAAAGAATTCTCATTAGGTTTTACACAATTAGGTAATGAAATATTAGTCATAGACATGAAAAACAATGTGGATTAACAGAGACAAAGTTCAGACATATGACAATGAATGGATAATAATCGAGGTGATAATAATAATAAGGATAAATTCATTCAAGTGTCTATATAATCTAGGCAGTCATAAGTGCGTACGTACAATGTGTATACTGGTAGAGGTGGAGACGAAAATAACTATTGTTACAACTGTCTCAGCTTTGCTTAGCTGTCAAAGGTGTACAGACTTAAGGAATTGAGGTGGCACTTGTGCCAGTATAGAACTGTTGATTGACTTTACGACTCCACTACCTAATTAACCCGGTTGGGCAATGCTCAAGGAAGCCCGGTAGTTCTACCTATGTAATTCTCTCCACAAGAACAGTTAAATCTATAAATGCGCATTGAAGTGTCCATACTCGATAGCTTATCCTTCACGTGTATTGGAATTACACAATACGAGTGGTGAGTTCTAAGCATGGCGTTGCAGGGCAAGAAATATTTTAGCTATCATTCTTTTTCCGAGTCTTGATTCCAGTAATTTAGTGGCTACATCTCCTTTGAACGACAAGGTCAAGTATGTGCGTTTCTTCAGCACACTTTGCTAGAATCTTTCTCTATCTGTCCTCATTGTTGAAAAGACTTTAAAAAACATTTCTGGAAATCCGTTCCCATATAATAAGTTTTCTATTTTCATTATTTCATCGTCAAGAGTGTCGGTTGTGCAGATTTTTATAGCACGAAACAACACACTACTTATTAAATTTTGTTTCTGTGCAAGAGCAACAAACGATGTTAAATGGGTATATTGGCCAAGCCATGATATTTTTTCTACCGCAAAATATCCTACTTAATACTTCCATCTTGCCAGCATGTTAGCAGGACACTAAGAAATGATAAAACATTGTCTTTCTCTATTTCGTAGGTGACCATAATTTGTGGCTAAGCCATATTGAATGTTTTGAGAAGGACCTTTCTTTCTTATGCAACAGAAATTATCATCCATGTACCTACAGTAGAACGAGAAGAATTCGTTGATTACATATTTTCAGCGGATGATTCTCTAATTCTGACGTATACACAATGTTGGCTAATATAGGACCGAGAGAGGAGAAGCCCATCACTACGCCTTCCATTTGACGATAGGTTTCGTTGTTAAACTGGAACTGTACACTCATCATACAAGAGAGTAGCAGTTCTCTTACTGTTCTAGGTGGTATTCCTACTTTCATATCATTTTCTGTAACACATTCATAGATGAAGTCGATGGTGTCCAATAAAAGGACGTTAACCGACAGGGAAGTGACAGTCATAGTGATCATAGTTTCATCGTTGATTTTCTTATATTTCACTTTTTTATAAATTCAAACGCCTCCTTCAAGCTATACCAAGCCACTTTCAGCTACAGTTGTTTAAATATGTCTGCCAACTGTCTAGCTATTTCATGAACTATAATGAGTTAAGTATATCTAATATTGGTTTCATTAGAACACTGAGCTTATGAATTTGTGTGAGTAGATGCGTGTGGGTATTAGTGTGCTGTAATGTTCTTGATATAGACATTATTGTCATTCAAGTGTTGGTTTGTAGGGATTTGATTGGTTACAGGATTTTCATCATGAGCCGACATTAGTTAGAGAATCACTGGAAAACCTGGGAGTACTGGACAGCTGTTTCGTCCTAGTTTGGGACTCTTCAGCAGTACGCGGGATTCGAACCCAGGACCTTCTGGTTTACAAGGCGAGCTCGTATACCATTATTATTCTTATTATGCAACTGGAGTCTTTTTGGGCTTAATTTAGTTCATCTCAAATCACTGTCAGTCAACCTTAAAACATTCCAAGTAATTTAGAAGTGAAAAAATAAAAATAGGACGAAAAATGTTTAAAATGCTTAAAAAATATTTTTATAAATAATAAGTGAAATATTTCATATTCATGTGTTAGTTTGCCAATGAATTCTATTGATTTCGAATTTGATCGGGAAATGACTGCCTGACCAATAAGAACCGAAACCATAACCTTCAAGAGTTAAACGGTGAGACAATAGGTAAAGGCTGATTTAAAGAGCTTATTGATTGACCGAGTTTCAACATAGAACTACTTCACACAGAACTTCACACACAGCACTTGCCACAATCTATTTAGCATCTAAAGTTAGATAGAATAGAGAGAAAAAGACATTGAAAAAGAAGACTCTGCATGTAAAATCCATATCTCAGCTTCATAACGTCATCGACTGACTTACCTTTCTCACCTAACACTATTCTGCGTTCACAAGTCACAATTACGGAAAAATGTGTTCTGGAACACTTTTGATAAACTGTGTGCTTCGCACAAAACTTATATGTAAAGGGAACTCATTTCATGATTTTTTAGGATTTTCAGAACTGGTAGACTTCGGAGTGGATAAAATTACAAAATTCTTATGTCCGCCTTCTATATACATATACTCCTGAACATACTCCTGTGAAGCTAATTACACTGTAGACTTTTTAGTATTGGCTTCCGAAGACCCCTAGCTGCGAAAGCTGTCTCTGTTTGGTTGATGAATAAAGCGAGAGTAGGATGACACAGTCTTCCATGTGTGAACACCTTCTTGAGTCAGATCATTCAAACCCAGTATGATTTATCCTTTTTATATCTGCAGGGCTTGATATATATTCACTCTAAAACTTTACGTCTTTCACCAGATTATGTATAGTTGAGAAGACAGGAATACGTTGAACCAACAAGACTCCAGATGATCTGGGTATCGCGGACGACTTATGCCTAATTTCATACAAACTCGAAGATCTACAGGCTAAAATCAAATCAATGAGGTGCTCACTAGTGACTTGCTCTATTCAGGTAGGTAGTTACCTGGGGTTCTAGTGAGAAGTCGTGACCAGTAGGGTGCAGCAGGTCGGGTGTGAGGACAAATACTCGCCGAAGACATTGGCTAGGGGTCGCGCTATGTCTTGAATTGGCGGAAGTTAGAATTCATGGGCCATTGGATCGGGTCCCTGTGGCTTAATGGTATACGAGCTCGCCTTGTAACCAGAAGGTCCTGGATTCGAATCGCGGTGGGTGCGTACTGCCGAAGAGTCCCAAACTGGGACGAAACAGCTGTCCAATACTCCCAGGTTTTCCAATGGTTCTCTAACTGATGTCAGCTCTTGATGAAAATCCTGTAAAATCAAACACTTCAGTAGAAGAAGCAGATAAGGAAGACAAGACTGTTCAAGTGAACATTGAGAAGACAGAGGTGATGAAAATGCAAGCATCAATCAATGCTAACGGGAGAAATCTGGAGGCAGTTGCTTCTTCCAATCATCTAGATAACATCGTTTCGACTACAGACGACGGTAGAAATTAAGATGTCAAAGACAGTAAGGATAGGGAAGGTGAAACAGACCTTCATTCCTCTGAAATCAGTGCAGTGTGGATGTCTACTGCAACTGTAACAACAGAAGACAAGGGCCAGGCAACAGATCAGTTTTATTACGAAAACCAACAGGTATTTATATGTATTTTACGTACATTAATAAGGCTCTGCCCGCAGAAAGAAGGCGGTCTTCTGATTGGTTGTTTGCAAACAAACGCAGTCTTCTGCTTTCTCGTTTTCGATATTTCTCGGAAATGCGAGCCACTTGTCTGCGAATCATATTTGTCCACGTCTAGGTCAGCTGTGATCTGTTGTTGAATCAGCCTAGATTAATTTCCACCAATCAGCGTAGGTCAATGTCTACCAATTGGCTAGCAGCTTGCTCTCACCACACAACCAGCATAAGGAAAGAAATTTCGATTTTCAATACTAATGTCAAATTAGTGAGTGCTTCTACACAGTTTATGGACTTTGCGCTTCAGGTATAGCATTCCCAACAGATAGAGCCCGGATGTAAAACGGCAAATTAGGCGTGCTATTGTACATGAAGGATACCTTATAAATAGATGTTAAGAGCCTATGCACAATCGTTGAGTCAGCTTAAGGCAACTCCAAAACACAAGATGAACATTGATGTGCTGTTGGTGCCTCATGTTCCACCTCAAATCTAAGGGAATAATAGTAATAATAATATGTATAGCCGAAGCAATAGTGCTCAGAGAACACTATTAATTGCAAAAGTATGGTTATCGATATAAGTTTCTTGATAAAAATATGAACTCAGAACTAAGTCACGACAGTATAACAACAGTTCCAAAAGAGGGCCTTAATCATAAAACTACAGTATCTTGAAGACAACATCAGTGAAATAATAAAATAATGCTTCTAAAAAATGCAGTAAAAGGAAAATTCAATACAGCAGCAGAGGCACACAGTATTCCTCCACAACCACCCTATCTTTAGGTTCACGAAATAAGGACAAACTACCTAATCTCACCTCCTAATGAATATGTATCTGCCAAAATTAGGCTGCTCCTCCCAAGCTGTTTAGTTACATTGGGTGTACAATTAAGCAGTTTTATCATTGGATTTCCGAATATCATCATCCTGAATAGTAGTTGAGCAAAAGTCAAACAAGATCTATTTTGCAATTCATTCACTTCAGCTCTACACTATTAAAAATTATGTTAATTATCTTTATTCTAACCATATGTGTATATTTACTACTACGAAATTGTATTTAGTGCCATCGATGGCCTTGAGTTATACAATATTAATGTATAATTGAAACCAAATCCAAGCTGTGATTCGTATCTCATTATTTGTTTGTGTGTGTGTATTGATTAGTACTATAATCATGATCAGTATTTGATCTCGAATCATATATTCAACTGTCAATGATAATATATATGCACTGAATTGTTCAGTGGTGTCAAATATATATGTATTAAAACAAATAAATACTTCACATGATTTAAAGCACAAACA